TTTTTTTTTTTTTTTTTTTTTTGGTACTGGGGACTAAACCCAGGGGCACTTAACCACTGAGCCACATCCTCAGCCCTTTTTTGTATTTTATTTAGAGACAGGGTCTCAATGGGTTGCTGAAGCTGGCTTTGAACTCATGTCGTAGCCTCTGGAGACCCTGGGATTACAGGAGTACGCCACTATTGTCACATATTTTGAGGATCCTAGTGTTCTGAACTTCTAAATGATGAAACATTGTTTACAAAAATTGTGCTTTTTAAATGTTTATAAATATAAAATAGAGCTTTTGACCCACTGGAAAACATAATACAATATGATTATGCTTTTTACAAGAAATTTTTTAAAAAATATTTATTTTTTAGTTGTAGATGGACATAATAATATCTTTATTTTATTTTATGTGTTGCTGAGGATCAAATCCAGAGCTAGGCGAGTGCTCTACCACTGAGCAACAACCCCAGCCCTTTCATAAGAAAATTAATTACATAATTTATATAAAATCTAATTATTCAGAGTCTAATACTCCCACACTTAGGTGCATAATAAATTTTGCATGTTTGTTTTCCCATTTAAAAACAAATTAGGGACTTGGGGGTGTAGCTCAGTGGTAGAGGGCATATTTAGCATATGTAAGGTCCTGGGTTCAATCCCCCAGCACCACACACACACACACACACACACACACACACACACATTTAAAAGAAAATTATTCATGCAGCATCTCAAGTAGTGTGAACAATTTTAAAACTGTTTACAGAATGTTACCTTTCTTTAATCCTGAGACTAACTTACTCAGGCCAAAATTTCAAATAGGCTTTTTTTTTTTGGTGATACCTAGATAAGAATAGTTCTTGAGAGATGGCTTCCTTGAGATGTCTTTTTTTTCAGGTGGTTACAGTTACAGTGGTGACATCATTACAGAAAGTAGCATAAGCAAAACCTCATATCTCTGTAAGGATACATCTTGAAAACTAAGGGAAAGGACACAAGAACCTGGAAAAGGGTTGATTCTTATATTAAGGACACCTCCTTCATAACCTCATAGCTTACATGGGAAGGGTCCTTAGACATTTTACCCAGGTTTGAAGCATTTGTTTTCCCTTCCCAATGGAAAGGCTGAGCAGGAAGTGGGTTTTATCTCTAAATCATAGCTGACAAGATCTCTGATTTTTAGCACTGTATATATTGTTTTACAATTCCTTTACAGTGCACCAAATCGGATGGTAGTCTGGGATTTCAAAGTCCAGGAATTAAAATTATGTATGTATGATTTCAGTAAAAAACAAATCCAACCAACCAAACTCCAAAACACATGCCAAGGGTGTGAATAATTAGGAGACATTTAAAAAACTAATTAAGGGTTTATTTTTAACTAAGTTTTTTTTTTGTGTGTGATGCTGGGGATTGAATCCAGGGCCTTGTGCATGCAAGGCAAGCACTCCACCAACTGAGCTATATCCCCAGCCCTAACTAATTAATTTTTTAAAAGAATGTTATGTTTGAAAAATCAAAGAGCTTGTTTTTTTGCAGATTTTTTTCTTTTTTCTGCTATGAAACCATCTGTTATTTCTGATCCACTTGACATACACCTATATATTCAGAGAGGAAAAAAAGCAAAATAGAAAACATTAAGTGCTTTATACAGGCCACATAGGTACACTTGAGCAAACCTTTTAGTGTCACTATTATTGAATGCCAATTAAATTGAATTAAGATATTTATTGAACATTTACTATGTACCTAAAAGAATTTCTATGAAACAGAATTTTTAAATTTTATTTTTTATTTATATATGAAGCAGAATGTATTACAATTCTTATTACACATATAGAGCACAATTTTTCATATCTCTGGTTGTATACACCATATATTCACACCAATTCGTGACTTCATACCTGTACTGTGGATAATAATGATCATCACATTCCACCCAGAAATATTTTTATACTACTTTCTTCCCTTCAATTTTCTAATCTTGTTATAGAATTTTAGATCTAGAGGGGACTATGGAAACTCAAATAAGGAAACATTTATAAAAAGAATTAAAGGAATGTCATTGTAAATTCATTGATACTCTTACTTAGGCTATATACACAAAAGCCTTTTTTTCTGTCTCATGGCATATTTCTAAGTTGGAGGCACAGACATCTTTTCCTAATGCATTTTTTCAATTACAATTCAATTTGAACACTTGTGAATTTAATATGAAACATTTATGAACACTCAAATGCTAGATTATTTTCAGAAAATGAAGCATAAAATGGATGGGCTGGGGATTTAGCTCAGTGGCAGAGAATGTGCTTGGCGGGCATGAGACCCTGGATTCAATCCTAGTACCACACACACACACACACACACACACACATACACACAAAAGGATTACATAGCTGAAGTATTGTTAGACCACGACACAAGAAAAGACCACTGACTCCAATTAAAATCAAATTAAAGCAAGCTTATTATTTCGACCGACCAGGCTGCCTTGCCCATCAAAATCGTGGGAGCCAAGGACAGCGGCGAGGCTTCTTTACGGCCCAGTTTTATAGCCCAAAAAGTTACACAAAGGGGGGTTACAGATAACAACACTCTGAGGAGCATAACACAAGTTTACATTTTTGCTGGCCCCGGCATCAGAATTTATGGAGATCTTAGAGACTCAGAGAGGTTCGTTATCCGGCCAGGGAAGGCCAGAATTTATGAGGCGTCACTAAGGTTTAGGAAAGGGTTGTTATCTGGTCAGGGAAAAACGGACATGGGTGAGTTCAGGGCACGGGCAGGCATTCCAATCAGCTTTACAACATCAACTAATGGCCAGACCATACAGACATCCTAATATTTTTACAGAAAACAGAAATGAATCCTTCATAACTTGTGACAAGCTGGCTTCTGACCTAATGAGAGAACTAGGCTAGGTATATCAGTATATTATTTTTCTCCATTTGAATCTGAAGCACCTTCAAAATTAAAATTTCCTATTTACTTGATTTTCATCACTGTTGGCATTTTGAATACTTATGTCTAGATTCTGCATTAGTTTAGAGAAGCACTATGCCCTACAGGCTTGTCTCAGTGTGACCATATCAGTGTTCTAAGTGCAAAGAGAAATAGAATAGTTAGTATACAAAGAAGTGAGATAAAAGATCTGTATTATACAAAGCTTTTCCATTTTATTGGGAATCAAGCAGAAGTTAACTTGGAAAATTATATATATATATATATATATATATATATATATATATATATATATATGTTTTTGGAGGAAGTGTACTAGGGATTGAACCCAGAAACACTTAACCACTAAGCCATATTCCCAACCTTTTTTTATATATTTTAGAGACAGGATCTTACAGAGTTACTTAGGGCCTTGCTAAGTTGCTGAGGCTGGTTTTGAACACGTGATCCTCCTGCCTCAGCCTCCCAAGCTGCTGGACATATTTGCTTTTAAAGATTGATTCTAGGTTGAGGCTGTAGCTCAGTGGTAGAATTACTTGCTAGCATGCATGAAGCCTTGGGCTTAATCTCCAGCACTGTAAAATAATAATAATTGAATTATATGTTAAATTCACCCATCATTTATGTTTTCTTTGTCCTCTTTTTGTGATCTATGCAGTTTTATAGTTTTCACTAAAATAAGTTTCCTTTAAAATGTGGACTTAGTTTATAAAGAGAGTCAGTGGGGGTGGAGCTCTAGCTCAATGATAGAATACTCTCTGCTGATCTTTCAGGGCCAGGGCACAGTACTTGGAAAGTAAATGTTTGTTTATTTATTTATATATACTAGGTACTGTATAAGAGCTTTTATATAGAAATGCTTTGTATACTTTAAAGTACTATTCAATTGAAGGGTGTTATTTTTAAGACAGATAACTATCCATTCCACCATCCCAGTCAAAAGTATCTGGTAAATGTTTCTCAACTGTAGTGTAGGTCTGCATGAACCCCAAGAAATTTTGTGTGATATTTAAGACAATGTTAGCCATTAGAAGTTATCTTCAGTGACTCTGAGGAATGCAAAAATGAAGTCATTGAGAATTGTATATGAGGGCTACAAAACAGTCTGATCCCAGAGCATGTTCTCATGTCACTGTGAAAAGTACTGACCCAGGAAGGAGCTTGCTCTTCACTTTTTCCTCTCCACAATTTTGTGATCCTATTTTAGAATTCACCATCTTTGGTTCCCTGTAAGCTAGGTAATGATTGTTTCAGGGATATTAGGGAGGTTAAAGATTTAAATATCTGGGGCTGGGGTTGTGGCTTAGTGGTAGAGTGCTCGCCTAGCATGTTTGAAGCACTGAGATTTGATCCTCAGCATCATATAAATGTAAAATAAAGATATCATGTCCACTTAAAACTAAAAAAAAATAATAAAATAAAAAAAGATTTAAATATCTTCCTATGTGTCTGTAAGATATCCTATTTGTATACTCCCTTATAATTGTAATATGAAAAAAATCTGGGGCTAGGGGTGTAGCTAAGTGATAGAGCACTTACCTACCTTGCATGCTGTCCTGGGTTTGATCTCCAGTACTACCAAAACAAAAAAATCTGTACCGGAGATTTCCACAGATTTGGAGCGGAGAGCGCAGTGCTGGGGATTGAACCCAGAGCCTCACACACATCCTAGGCAAGTTTGTCACTCCATCAAAAAAGGAAAAGAAATGCACTGAATTGACTGTTGAGCTTCACCTTTGAAGATATCAGCATCTCAAAGAAAATCAGGATCAGATCTTTAGAGACCTGAGGCAAGACTAGTACTGAACAAAACAGTAAAGGAATGGTTAATCTTTGGCATCTATCTGACTCTTTCATGCTGTTTTCACCTACTCCTCCTCTTTCTTCTAATATCTCTAGCTCCTTCCAAATGCTTAGTTTGTGTTTATTTCTGAAGATGCCTTGACATAAGTAAGCTATTATCTACCAACACAACATTCTACCTGTAGAGCTTTCCTTTCCATTCCAGATGTTAGGAAGGTATCAGGTTGTCTCCCATCATTCAAATCATGCCATGTAAGTGCTTTCTACCTGAATACCTAAGAACTTTCCTTATAATAAAGGCTTCCTGATATATAGTAATACAAGTAATACAAGCTCCTCACTTCTGTGGTATCCCTTATGAACTTCCATTTTAATTTCTTAGTTTTCTTATCTTCTTTTTTATTATCACTGTTACTTTTTAAATTTTAGAATCTTTAAAATGTTTTTCTTTAGTTGTAGATGGACACAATACATTTATTTATTTATTTATTTATACCGGGAATTGAACTCCTCAGGGGTATTCGATCACTGAGCCACATCCCCAACCCTATTTTTCATATTTTATTAGAGACAGGGTCTCACTGAGTTGCTTAGTGCCTTGCAGTTGCTGAGGCTGGCTTTGAACTCACAATTCTCTTGTCTCAGCCTCCCAAGCTACTGGAATTACAGGCATGAGCCACTGTGCCCAGCTTATTTATTTGTTTTTATGTGGTGCAGAGGCTTGAACCCAGTGCCTCACACATGCTAGGTAAGCACTCTACCATTGAGCCACCACCCCAGCCCTTACCTTTTTACTTTTTAAGAAAATACATGTAGGTAATCGTCTGTCACTTACATTTATTCCAAAATGATACTATTGCTTTATATTTCTCTGGAACTGAAATAACATTTATTTAAATGGTCCTCCCTTGAGCTATTGTAATCTGGAAGCTTTTTTTATTTTTGTAAGTGCAGTTACCACAAATCTGTTTGACAGGAATGTTTTTCTTATTTCCAAAAACTAACTGTAAAATCTCTGTATTGTTTGATATTTGTTGTGGTTTTTCAGTTTGATTAATATTATAGTAAAATCGTTTTTCAGATCTACTAATTTTTTTTTAGAGAATTTTAATATTTATTTTTTAGTATTTGGCAGACACAACATCTTTGTTGGTATGTGGTGCTGAGGATCGAACCCGGGCCACACGCAGGCCAGGCGAGCGCGCTACCGCTTGAGCCACATCCCCAGCCCCCCTCTACTAAATTTTTAAATGTTCTGAAATATGATGACTACTGACTTGAGATACAGTGTTGTTATTTGGCTTTTTCCATTTTTTCATCTGTACTTTCTAATACAGATGACATTATAATCCTTAAAAGGATAGAAACTACCTGTGTGGAAGACATCAAGAATAAAAAACAGAACAATAAAAAACCTACAGCTTCAAAACGGCGATCAAATGCTCGTAGACAAGCAGGCAGAAAGGTAAAGTATACTAAAAATCACACATGGTAAGGAGTCTGAAATATCTGTAACTGACAAGGTCAGCAAATTCAAGAGCTTGCCATGCTGTTGTAAAGTTACATTATTTTACTTATTTTATTTTTTCTAGTCAAGGACTCATATAGGGTTGGTAGGACTCTATGCCATGTCAAATGAAATAATTTTTTAAATTTATTTAAGTTACTTCACTAAAGAAGGGCAAGATGAGATAAGTAACCATATGGGCTAAGAAATGTTTTGCACATTTCTGGTTGGTTGGTCCTTCCACGTTTAGGAGGCAATGCAGGAAGGTTAAAAGCATGGTCAATAATCTGGGTACTGCAGCATCCACATTTTGTAAAAAAGAATGTTGTTGGGCAAAGACAGTTGGGGTAGAGTATGAAGAATATCCTCTGTAACACTAACCACATTGGTTGGTTCAGAGAGTGTATTTCCATATGAATATACTGCAGATTGCCATAGTAGAAAATTCTTTTTAATAATTAAGATTCTACATGATCTAGTGAAAAGGTTGAGACCATCTTAACATTGTACATATTCTCCGAGTTGCCTACCCAGCTTCAGTATAATTCTCCTGTGAATCTTTTAAGTGGCTTAACATATTCTGAAAAAAGGAGGAATGGTTGTTATTATAAGGGCAAAGCAGCCAAGATTGGTGAGATGGTCCATTCTCATGTTCCTAGCCAAATATAAAATTGATTTTTTGAGGCTTTTGAAAATCTATATTTTTTGATTGTTTCTTAAGCTGTCTTTGTACCCAAAGCAAAGCAGATAGGTGAAGCAAATAGCCATACAATCAATACAAGGCAGCCAGTTTCTCTCTATCTCTTCTTTTTCTATTGGAGTATTCCTTCAATTAATTTCAGATACTGTGTCCCAACTGGGCATATGAAGTAAAATTTGAGGTATTATACACAAAGAAGATTACCCTATTAGGGTAGGCAAATGGAAACAGTATGGCAAAGATTGTTCTAGAATTCAGTGAGACTCCTAGATGATATTAGAGTAATGAAATATCAAAAGTTTTACAAAACCCAGTGCATAGCTTTAAAATGAGGTCATGCACAATATTTCTGAAAGACATGTTGAATTTGCTGACTAAAAATACAGAAAATAATTATTTTTCAAAGGGTGCACAAAATTCCAAAACAAGCTTGACGAAAAAGTTGATGATCAAAAATCACACGAAGAACCTTCTGGAGCAAAGTCTGGACAAAGCCCTTTAAGTAAGCAGCCTTCAATTGAGCAGGTAAATAAATACCAAGAATTAACTGATATAAAAATTCCTAAGTTTAATATATATCTTAATATTAAGAGTTATTTTAAATTCCATTGAGAGCTGGGGTTGTTTCTTAGTATTGTTCCATGGTGACTTGAATACAATCTAAATTAGATTTTTGTTAGTTGAGATTTTTCCCCTGTGTCTCTTGTGATAAACATTTGGGTTGTTTTGTTATTTTTGGTCAATAGAAATTTATTTTAATATTTATTTTTAATTGAAGTTGGACACAATATCTTTATTTTATTTATTTATTTTTATGTGGTGCTGAGGATTGAACCCAGGGCCTCACATGTGCGAGGCGAGCACTCTACTGCTAGGCAGTCCCTGGTCAATAGAAATTCTGAATTTATAAAATGCTAAAATAGATTATTGTTACTTATCCTATATAATCATTCTAATTTTTCTCCTCTTACAGAGTGTTTGATATTAAGTTATAGTATAAAAAGTTTTAGTAACCTTGTAAATTAATTATAAAAACCAGAAGTGAGATGAAATAGAATATGAAATACACTCTGGAACTAACAAGTGGGACAGACTATGGTTGTATAATCCTTTACCTCAGCTTCTATAGGTAAGCTGGTCACTGTACAAGAATTTGAGAGGTGCTCCTCCAGATTTATAAACTAACATTGGTGTTAATGTTTCAGCTTGGCCTATAAACTGATTCTTTTTATGGCGTTATGTGATCATTTAGTAAAAAATGGTGGTTCTGGCAGCTTAAACCATTTTTGTTAAATTATGTAAATGCAAATTATTTACTTATTTTGGAGGGGAGCATATTGCATTTTCAAATATTTGAACAATTAATTTAAGTTGATCAAATACTGATTAGGCGCCTACTCTATGCAGCCCCCGAATGGTACTAAAGCAGCCTGCTTCAAATACCATATGTGGTAGTAGGAGAGAAAGAGAAGAAAGAAATGTAATGCTAGGCAGGATGAAATACATGTTCTAATACAGTATATGTTCTACATTATAGAGATGCAGTAATGCATTCTGACTGGGGAGAATTCAGAAAGTCTGATGGAAGAGATGACATTTGATTTATGTCTTGTAGGATGAGGAGGTTTGGGATAAAATTTGGAAAGAAGAATGAAAGCTTGGACTGGGGTTGTGGTTCAGTGGTAGAGTACTTGCCTAGCATGTATGAGGCACTGTGTTCAATCCTCAGCACCACATAAAAATAAAATAAGGATATTGTGTCCACCTAAAACTAAAAAAATAATTTTTTTTAAAAGAGAAGAATGAGAGCTTTTTTTGATACAGTCCATGATGCAGAAATAAACTGAATATTGTAAAACTGTTTTCAAATTGATAGTATCTTTATGTAACTCATATTTTTGAAATTAAAAAAAAATTATAGACAAAATACCTTTATTTCATTTATTTATTTTTATGTGGTGCCGAGGGTGGAACCCAGTGCCTCACACATGCTAGGCAAGCGCAAGCGCTCTACCACTGAGCTACAACCCCAGCCCCAATTGGGTACTGGGGATTGAACTCAGGGACACTTTGCCACACCCCCAGCCCTGCTTTGTATTTATTTAGAGACAGGGTCTCACAGATTTGGTTAGTGTCTTGCTTTTGCTGAGGCTGGCTTTGAACTCAAGATCCTCCTGCCTTAGTTAGACTCCCGAGCTGCTGGGATTACAGGAGTATGCCACCATGCCCAGCTTCCAGCCCCATTTTTGAAACTTTTGAGACTGTCAGTATAGCAAAACTCATCACAAAAATACAGTAAAGAAATATAAGAAAGTTAACCATAATTATTTTACCAATAAATAGAATAATTAGTGTCTAATGGTGTGTTGCAATTCTTTCTCCTTTCCCTTTTTCTTTCTTTTTTTTTTTTTTTTTGATCCTGGAGATTGAACCCAGGTCCTAACACAAGCTTGCTGAGTGCACTACCACATTCCACATTCCCAGTTATTTCAAGACAGGGTCTCAAGTTGGCAAGGCTGTTCTCAAACTTGTGAGCCTGCTGCCTCAGCCTTCCTTGTAGTTGGGATTACAGGTGTGCATCACTGCACCCAACAATGCCTTGCAACTCTAATAAGCAAGTTATATACGTTGAAAGATTTAATCTACCAAGAATAGGATAAATAATCTACTAAATAGGATAAAATTGTATTTATTCAACATAATTCTTTTTGATAGGAAGTTTCTGCTTGCATATAAGGAAGGATAACTAATGTGCATTTCATTTTCTAAAGGTGAAACATTTATTTTGGGGGGAGTATTGGAGATTAAACCCAGGGATTCATTCATGCTTAGCATATACTCTACCACTAAGCTATATCTTAATCCTGAATATCTATCTATCTATCTATCTATTTTTAGTTGTAGATGGACATAATAGCTTTATTTATTTTTATGTGGTTCTGAGGATGGAACCCAGTGCCTCACACATGCTAGAAAGGTATTCTATGGCCCCTGAAACTATTTTGTATTGTAAACATTTATGAAAGGACCACAACTCCTTTGAGAAGAGTTTTCAGGAGTTAGGCCTCAATCCTATTTTTTCTGCTGAGCCACCGTGCTCCCAATACTATTCACTTAGAAGAGGTACATGTGTATTTCACCCAGTCTACTTGTTTAGATTTTTCAGTAGAAATGCTGGGGAGTGTCTATGGCCTTAGGCTCTAGTAAATATTTTTTTTCATATTTTTTATGTTATTGATGCTTTCTATTCAGAATATTCTTTGTGCTGGTGCCTTCCCTGCTATTTAGCAGTTGCTTTCACCTCTGGCAGTGTAATACAAGAAAGGCATAATGCCAAATCTAGGGCATGTTTTCTTTGCCAGGCAACATTTGCTAGTGGAAAGCTTGATTTCTCAGCACAGTTCATATAACTTTATCCACTTATTTTATGTAACATCATAGAGATTTGTCAAACTTTTTATTATTTCCATTTGGCTGATTCACACTATTGCCTTTTGGTTTAGAAGTTGAAAAGATAGAAAGACTGAGTCATTACCAGGTCAATTTGCTTGAACAGTATTAAGCCAACCTTCTGCTTCCTTTATAGATTTCTTTCCTGCACTTTGTTTTTCTCTCTAGAATTAAGTGTTTTTATATTGAATTTATAGATTGTTTTCTTAAATTATCATCAAGCTGGCAAAAACAGTATTTGATCCTAAGGATGTATACTATGAAATATTATTAAATATTGCCTCTCCTAAACTATAAAGTCATACGATCTTTGTTTCTTTAACAAAATATAGATCCAGAAAATGGTAGGTAGAACATGATCTTGGAATATATTAAAATTCATAAAGCGACTAATTTTCCATATTTTCATTTTATTAAAGTCTTATTTGCATAATATTCTTTGTGCCAATGACAAGGGACAACAGAGCTATTCTATATGGTAGTTCTAAAAACTAGTATATAAAAAGTAATCACGGTAGATTTTCATAAGAAATAATTGCCCATAGAAATGGTCTTAAGAAATATCATTGTGACTTAATCAAATTGTGGAGCATATGTTTCATTTGTTTTGTATAATTGGGGTCCTTTACAGGAGAAGTGCAATGACAATAATAAGACCCAATCAGAGAGGAATCAAGGCCAATCAGAAGAAAAACAGCATCAATCAGAAGGAAATCGAGGCCACTTAGAGAGATCTCATAGCCGATCAGTAAAATCTCCTGACAAATCCAAGAGATCTCATGGTCAATCAGAGAGATCTCATGGCCAATCCGAAAGATCTTGTGACCAATCAGAGATATCTCATGGTTGCTCAGAGGGATCTCGTGGTCTCTCGGAGGGATCTCATGGTCGCTCGGAGAGATCCCGTGGTCGTTTGGAGAGATCTCGTGGTCATTTGGAGAGATCTAATGGTCATTCAGAGAGATATCATGATCATTCAGAGAGATCTCATGGTCGCTCAGAGAGATCTCATGGTCATTTGGAGAGATCTAATGGTCATTCAGAGAGATATCATGATCATTCAGAGAGATATCATGGTCAATCAGGGAGATCTTATGGCCAATCAGAGAGATATCGAAGATACTCACCAGGAGGAAGATTCAAATCATCACCGGAAACTGAGTCTGAATTTGACAGGTAAAAATACAAAGAATACTTAAGCATTAGTACATGTTAAGTGATACGGAAATGTAAAGACATGCTTTCTATTTCTATATTTTAATGGCTAAATGTGTGTTTGTTTTAACAGACATGTATTGGGACAAAGATATTAATGGAATAGAGAATATATATATATATATATATATATATATATATATATATATATATATATATAATATGTAAAGATATACATATAATATATAAAGATATACTTATAATAAGATATATAAAATCAATGTTCTTTCAATTTACTGATATACTCTAGCTATCATCCAGTTTCCTAGGTTGTCTCATTAAGTTGTTTTATCTAGGTCTGTTTTTCCTTGCAGAGCTCTATGTACTCAGCCTTTTCTACTGAGCCTACCCCACAATCAGAATTCAGAATATATTGACTTAGTCAGTATTCTATTCTCTTTGGATCTTCCAACCTGTGAGGCAAACTGGTCTAAAAATAACTGCTCTGAATTTATATAAAATCTATGCCAATAAATTTGTATCCTTCCTTTATCTTCTTCCTAAAAAGTCCTCAGAGAGTCTTAGGAGACAAATAATAGATGTGTCTTTGGACAGCTGAACTTTTCTGCTTTTCCTAAAATCAGACCGTAAAAGAGGATGCCTATTCTGTACATAAATTCAATACTAACCTTCTAAGTATATTTTGAATATATTACATATATTCACTGTTGCCTTCTAAAACTATTAGCATAGGTTTGTCTATACTAGCAAAAGAATCAGAGAAATATAAATAGTTCTATGAATTAAGTTTTCAAAAACAGAAGATCTTTTTATTGCAATTTATTAGGTTATTGAATAAAAATTTAGTTTTAGTTCAAATTTCTCAGTGATTGCCTTCAGCTTGCATTGTCTATAAATGTCTAGTTAAATATTTGACTTTATATTAAGCATTGCACAGAATTGGTGATTTCAACAAAAAATTTCTAAAATGTGTGTGAGTTATTATGTATACATAGAATGTCTGATGCAGACATCACTTTAATGCAAAAGGTTCCATCCCACATTAGCAGTATAAACATAATTTGTGGAGCTGGAGTTGTGGCTCAGTGGTAGAACACTTGCCTAGCATGTGTGAGGCACTACGTTCGATCCCCAGCACCACATAAAAATAAAAAACAAATAAAGGTATTGTGTCCATCCACAACTAAAAAAAAATCTTTAAAAAATAAAAAATAAACATAATTTGTTACACAAAATTAAAATGTGATTAATAGCAATGATAAGCAATCCATGTGTCTGCATTTATTAGGGATTTTCCATGTTTTATTTAACTTTACATATTCATTTTTGTTAAGTGCTATAATACTTTCATTAAGACACTGAAAATTCCCTTTACATTATTGTCCAGTGATATATTTCTATCATTTTGCAAATACATTTTATGAGCAAAGTCCTGGGTTTGATCCTCAGCATCACAAAAGAAAAACATTTAAATACAATGAATAGGTATGTTTAATTTTTTCCTTTATCTTCTGTCATTATAATTTTTATACCCTCAAAACAAATAAATAGTCCTTGAATAGTTAAGGTTAAAGTTATCAAATTTGGAACTATTACTAAGGAATGAACACATAAAGTAGAGAAAAATTAATATATATTTATAATTGGTCTTCTAAAGATTAATTCTTCTCTATAACTTTCCACTTTAATATGCATATATAAGTTGACTAGATAGGTTTAATAATATCTTTCAGAACTAGTTTGCTTCTGTGCTAAGTATAAAATGAAGACTTCAGTAATTTCATGTGCCATATAAAATTTTCCCTTCAAGCCAGCTTCACCAGAAGATAAAGACATGCCACAGATGCTAAATAAATTTCTGCATTAAACAAACAAGTTAATCTAGAAGCCCAATGTAGTCTTTTTTTTTAAAAGAGAGAGAGAGAGAGAATTTTTAAATATTTATTTCTTAGTTATTGGCGGACACAACACCTTTGTTTGTATGTGGTGCTGAGGATTGAACCTGGGCTGCACGCATGCCAGACGAGCGTGCTACCACTTGAGCCACATCCCCAGCCCCCAATGTAGTCTTAATAAAAAGTGAGGCAGCTGGGCAAACATCTCAAATACAATATGATTGTATACAGAATATCACTTATTTGTGAAGATTTACAAGAAATATTTCCAGTATTAAAAAACTGTTAAGACACTCAATAACAACCCTTAATAGGATTTATTGTGAACAAGGTATAAATCTGGGTTTTTCCATTTTCTTTCTTTTCTGCAGAGCTGGGAATGTGAACCCAGGGCCTCATATATGCTAGGCAAACACTCTACCACTGAACCACATGCCCAGCCTCTTTTTTCTTTTATTTATGTATTTATTTATTTTTTTAAGAGAGAGAGAGAGATAGATAGAGAGAGAGAGAGAGAGAGAGAGAGAGAATATTTTAATATTTATTTTTTTTAGTTCTTGGCGGACACAACATCTTTGTTTGTATGTGGTGCTGAGGATCGAACCTGGGCCGTGCTTGAGCCACATCCCCAGCCCTTTTTTCTTTTATTACTTATTTCTTTTGGTGGTACTGGGGATTGCACCCAGGGTTGTTTTACCACAGAGCTACATCCTCAGACCTTTTTTTTTTTGTTTGTTTGTTTTTTGTTTTCGGTGGACCTTTATTTTTATTTATTTATATGTGGTGCTTAGAATCAACCCACACATGCTAGGCATGCACTCTACCACTGAGCCACAACCCCAGCCTCAACCTTTTTATTTTGAGATAGGGTTTTACCAAGTTGCCCAGGCTACCTCAAATTTGTGAACCTCCCGCTTTGGCCTCCCAAGTCTCTGGGATTACAGGTGTGCTCCACTGTGCCAGGCTATTTATTTTTTTGAGACAGATTTTCACTATTTTTGTCAAGGATGGCCTGGCCTGGTCTCAAACACAATCCTATGCCTCAGCCTCCCTAGTAGCTGGGATTACAGGCTACCACCACCATGCCCAGCTTTAAATTTGGATGTTTAAATCCCCTAAAATACCTGATAACAATTTCAGATTTCCCCCCCTCTTTTCTGACATGGTGACTGCATTCTCAATCAGATGACTTCTTTGGCTGAATTGATGGGTAAATAGAGAGAAATAGCAGAACATAGCGTATCTTTTGTGCCTGTACTAAGTAACTTACATAAAATGAATGGCAAATTCTGTATATCATTAAATTAGCTTGGCCATCCCTCTGATGAAAGCTTTTCTAAGCATAGACAAGACCTTCAGAAGGAATGGGCTATTCAGTTTTGGAGTGCTTGCTATCTAAACTTCAGTAATAGGGGCTGGGAATATAACTCAGTGAGTCAGATAAGTACTTAGCATGGGCAAAGTCCTGAATTCAATCCCTAATACCAACAAAACAAAACAAAAAAACAAAACAAAACACCCCTCCCCATCTCCAATTATAGAGTGATAACTAATATTTCCTTACCATTCAGCATCTCTTTGGATATTAATACTAGACAGCATTCCAAGTAATTCCTCAAATAGTTTCAGGTCTGATTATAATTGACAAATGAAACCTTTGATTCTCTGATCCTTAATATACTAAAAATACTGTATTTCACTCTGAAGGTAAAAGTTTTTATATTTTATTTTCCTCTTTTTTGTTCTCAAATTCATCACTTTCACCTAGCCTCATTTGTTGCCTAATCGCCACTATTTTTCTCATTTCTTAAAAAAAGATGCCAGTGAGAATCTGGTCTGTTTTTCTAAGGAATTGGCCTTTAAGGGGCTATAAGTAGCATGAGTGAGTGGAAGCAACTTAGGAAGTCATGACTCCATGTCCCAAATCTGTCTCAAAATATGACAGACAAATTAGTTAATATTGCTGGGTCTCAATTTCCTAATATAGGAAAGGAAAAACTTGAACTATATGAATTTAAAGACATATACAAACTAAAAACATTAGTTTATTAAAAATGGATTTTTTGTTCATTTTTTCATTTTTAAAAATTGTGGTTAAAAATATAAAATGTATCATTTTAACCTGTTTTTTTTTCTTTTTGGTGCTAAAGGCTCAAACTCAGGGCCTCGCCCATGCTAAGCATATATTCTGCTATTGAGCAACACCACCATCCCTAATCTTAACCATTTTTAAAGGTGCAGTTCAGAAGTGTTAAGTACATTCACAAGGTTTTGCAAACAGATCTCTAGAACATTTCCATCTTGGAAATCTGGAACTCCAAACACATAAAGCAATAGTTTCCTCTTGTCTCTCTTTCCCTAGCCCCTGGTAATCACCATTCTACTTTCTTTTTGTATGACTTTGACAACTTCAGATAGCTCATATAAGTGGACTCATACAACATGTGATGGGTTTATTTCACTTAGCATAATATTCTCAAGGTTCATTCATGTTGTAACATAACAGGATACTAAATCATATCCCATTTTATATTTATATGTATATATATATATATTGTTTACTCATTCATCTATCAATAGATATGTATGTTGCTTCTACTATTTGACTATTATAAATGGTTGCAATATGAACATGGGTGTGCAGATCTCTTTGAGACCTTGCTTTCAATTCTTTTTGACATACATGCAGAAGTGGGAATGTTGGATCATATGTTAGTTCTATTTAGAATTTTTTGAAGACCCTCCATATTGTTTTTCATAACAGTTGCACCATTTTTCAGTCTTTGCAGTGAACAGTGGTTCTAATTTCTCCATATCCTTGCCAGTACTTGTTTTCTGTTTTTCTAAGCAAAGCCAATCCGGTGGTATAAAGTGATGATATCTCATTGTACTTCTAATATGCATTTCATTGTGATTAATGATGCTGATAATCTTTTCATATGTTTCTTGGCCATTTGTATATCATCTTTGAAGAAATGTCTTTTCAAATCTTTAGCCAATTTATTGTGTTATTTGAATTTTTGTTGTAATAAGAGTTCTTTTATATAGTCTGGATATTAATCATTTATCAACTATGTAATTTGATATGTAATTCTGTAGGTTTTTATTT